ACTAATACGAAGGACTTTTAAGAAGAAATTAGATTTTTATGTATCATTTAGCTTTCCTTATGCTACTGTAGCTCCTTCGACTTACAGTAAAAAAATTGCTTTATATATTTGTTATTGCATTATTTTGCTCATTGCTTGGCTTATTATGCTGAACTTTTTTTACTTTTGTTAACAATTTGTTACACTTGTTGATGGTAAGGATGCTTCTAGGATTCCAATGTATTGTTTATTTCCTACAATGGATTAAATTATCATTCTTGTCACATATTTGTCTTTGGCACTATATGCTGGCTACTGATTCTTAAAGTTATCATCATTCTTGTAATGATTATAATTATTATATGTTTTACTAGGATTTTGAGGTGCACCCCTCGGTTCATGAGGCTCGAGATCGTATCTGCCAGATGATTGAACTGACGGACATACTTGACGGTTTCACAGATGTCGAAATGATGGACACCTCCCAAGGCTTTCGCTGTGAGGGTTGTAGAACAGTATCGGTAGTCAGCAAGAAAATTGACCTCTGGAGTTTGCCACCAATTCTGGTGAGGCTGATTATTATATTGAAGTAGCATTCTAGGTCAATTTACATCAGGCTTGTTGTTTAATATTTACCCGAGTATATCGCATGCCCTGTTTAATAGAGTGCACTCACTCAGTTTTATTCAACTCTAGGGTATGTAAATTTTTATAGTTGGTTGGATTATATTTTCGCTGCTCTCTTCATGTTACCTGGATTCTACTCTATACTGCATCATCTGCCATTATTGCTATTTGTTCTTCTAGCATCGGACCGCAGAACGATGGAATTTTCAGATATGGAGGTTGATATTTTCATTGAGAATAATCATTCTTAACCTCAACCTGCAATCGCATCAGCCAGCATTCTGCCTAACGATTATGATACTTCTCTCCCATGGCATATCGCGCTCCCTATCTCTCATTCCTACATCATTCCTGTTCATTCTCACTTTATGTAACCAAGATCCGCCTCCACCCAGCTTTGCTCTTAAGGGATAGGAATGATAAAATGGCATGGGTGAGAGTAGTAGACCGGTGGCTCAACATTGTTGAACTTTTGAGTTGCTACCACCATCGATGTGTTTTGCTTAGAAGTTAAGGCCGACTTTTCTCATTGGCAATGCTGGCCCTGATGTATGGAGTTATATCCAATCCCCGGTCAAATGTCTTATTGTAAACATAGTCAACTTGTGAAAATGGTATAATTAACTTATCGGCAAAACTAAAGGTAGCCTTATCTTTCTCCTCTTATCTGAGCCGTTTATCGCCTTAAGCTTCTCTTCTATCCATCAACATACATGATAATTTGCTTGCTTAAGCAGATGAGGATGAAATAAATAAATATATTTGGTGCTTATTTGACCACTTTTTTCACTTATTTTTTATATTTTGCTTTCTTGCTCTGTCCTGTTAATCTGCACGAGCTTGATAAATTACTGCTCTTTTTGAAACGGACATTTGTAAGGCTCATTTTTGAATTTATTACCCAGTATTCTTTTTATCTATTTTTCCCGATTTATAGATATTTCATCTAAAGCGCTTTCAGTACTTGGGCGGAAGATGGCAGAAGTCAAAGAAACCGGTGAACTACCCTTTGTTTGGGCTAGATCTTTCTAGATTCCTCAACAATCCCACAAACCCATGTTGCTCGATCTCGTCATCCCTCAGTGAGTTTGTGCTGGTTATTAATATTTCACTTATAGCCCATTATCCCTATCAACGCACGTTCGGGCTTACGCAATCCCAGTCATTCTTTTTCCTAGTATGACCCAATAATGGCGTCAGGCTCTATTGTAATTATATGAGATGTATTCACCCTATTTCGTTTAAAGTGATGAAGGACTGGTAGTAGAATTTTTCCGCCATGCTATGAATAT